AGAGACGGGGTTTCAACGTGTTAGCCAGGATGGTCTCGATCTCCTGACCTCATGATCCGCCCATCTCGGCCTCCCAAAGTGCTGGGATTACAGGCTTGAGCCACCGCGCCCGGCTGTCACTGCTCTTATACTGTAAAGCTGACACTAGTTACATTCTCTCCTGAAATCCATGCTTTATGGTTGTTTAAGAAAAAGTTTTTCAAGAATGTTTGCCCTTCATTTAAAAAAAAAAAAAAATTCCAAAGAGCACAGTGAAAATATAAAAACCTTGTACTGTTCTAAACCCCTAATTCCCTTTGCCAGAGGCAGTTACCAGTTTCTTGAGCATCTCTCAAGAAGTAACCTGTGGGTGTGCAGTAGGGTACTTCATGTGCTGTTTTTAAAATCATTGATTATTTATTTATTGTTCCATTTCAGCACATGTAGGTCTGTTTTTAAAATAGCCGTATAGCCGGGCATGGTGGCTCGCATTTGTAGTGCCAGCTACTCAGGAGGCTGAGGCCGGAGGATCACTTGAGCCCAAGGGTGCAAGGCTACACGGAGTTGTGACTGTGCCTGCTGGGGTGATGGGGCAAGACCCCATCTTTAAAGAAAAAAATGTTTTAATAGCTATATCGTAATTCATTACATAGATGTGTATAAGCTGATTGTATAGGTACAAACCAAAACTGTATTTACTTGTGATCATTTTCTTACTTAGACTGTTTTAAGCATTGGACCTCCTGGATTTATCCTATGTTCTTTTTACTCTCTGTTTTGGTCATTCAATTTAGTATTCTGAGAAATTTTGCAGACCCAATCTAATGTATCTTTTGAGTTTTTTCCTGTGTCCTGAATTACATTTGTTTCAGATGAAATTTTTCCTTAAGTGTCTGGTGATCCCTGGATTTCTGCTCATAATTAAGGAAAAGAATGCTGACTCACTGGACCCAGGCAGGGCATCTCTCCCAGATTGCTGGCTTGCCTTGGGGATACGTGGGTTTCCCAAATGCTAGAATGAAAAGAGATTTTATTTTGGCCTGCTAACATCAAAGACACTAGTTCCTCCAGATGGTTTATTCACAACACCATTGTCTTATTTTTATTTGTCTGGGATTAAATGTCCCCTTTAATTAAAGGAAGCTCTCTCTGATGAAGTAGGTTTGGGGACTGCTACCCTGGTGATACCTTGAGTCTTTCCTTTAGTGAAACGCAGCGCAATTCCACATGCACTGTGACCCTCTCTTTATTAAGGTGCCCTGGAACATATGGCACCTAACTTGAATATATAGCACTTGTTTCTTGGATAAGAAGTGTGCAATGGTCCAAACCTGCACTGAATTATCTTATATTTTGCAAACCAAATACGGAGATGATGGGACCAAAAATTATCAACAGGAATGTCCAACAAATCTGATCAGTGCAGCCACGGAGACGTGTCATGTTTGACTCTCTGTGCTTCCAAACCATGGCAGACAGGCCTGTGCAAGCTGAACTGCTGTCTCTGAACTACATCTGATTAGATTAGCTCTTGTACTTTTTAACAATGCAGCTTCATTTACATGTTGTTCCCCTATTTCCAGAAATGTTTGGAAAAATGGTAGTATTCCTTAATACTTAAGATATTACTCACGTGCAGATGCCGAAAATGCCATGCGGTACATAAATGGAACACGTCTGGATGACCGAATCATTCGCACAGACTGGGACGCAGGCTTTAAGGAGGGCAGGCAGTACGGCCGTGGGCGATCTGGGGGCCAGGTATGCGAGAAGGGTCTCTGGGCTCAGCCCATTGCCTGGGATTCCAGTCACAATGACAGGTGTTTTGGCAATTTGTATTTACTCTTTTGTAAATAACTTTGTGTCTATAACCTTGGCTTGAAGTGGATCTGAAAACCACCCAACGGTTTGGGTGAATTTTTTAAACCCTGAAATAGTAAGTCCTGTACGTTTCTAATAAGCAGCCATTCTTGAACTTCTGCTAGGGGCTAGATTCCACCTGCAGAAACATCTAGAATGAAAGCAGAATGCACTGAAATGAGCTGAAGTGCATGTGTCCTGCTTGAAATGTTCACATTATGGCATCTGAACAGGTTTCACTGTTTGTCTAACGTGTTTATGGGAGACACATATGTTACACCATTCTTTTCCATACTGTAACTCTGGATTCTTTCCATTAAAGGTTCGGGATGAGTATCGGCAGGACTACGACGCTGGAAGAGGAGGCTATGGAAAACTGGCCCAGAACCAGTGAGTGATGAGAACTCTGTCAGTGACTAGCACTCGTTTGGCCTGTTGAATTGATTGAAAAACATCACCAAAAGTCTGCAAACGAGCCCATTTTTACCAAGCTTTGATCAGTGTCTTTACTGAACTGGAAGCCTCTGAAAGTTATTAAAGGACAGAACCCAAAAGAATGCCTTTAATTACTGTCTGAGAATCTTGGCCATGTGTCAGATGATCAGATTTATTTTGTTACCCGGTCAGAAATTGTGTTCTTTGACAACAGATTAGATCTATAATGTTGGTTAGTCTTTAGCCCAAACCACTGCACTTTTAGAAAGACAGAAACATTTAAAAATTTGTTTTTACTATATTGAGTCTTAAGTAGGTTCATGATCTACATTGGGGCCTGGGGCCTGGGATTTTTTATTTTTATTTTTATTTTTATTTTTTTTGAGACAGAGCCTCGCTGTGTCTCCCAGGCTGGAGTGCAGTGGCGCGATCTCGGCTCACTGCAAGCTCCACCTCCCGGGTTCACGCCATTCTCCTGCCTCAGCCTCCCGAGTAGCTGGGACTACAGACGCCCGCCACCACGCCCGGTTAATTTTTTGTGTTTTTAGTAGAGACGGGGTTTCACTGTGTTAGCCAGGATGGTCTCGATCTCCTGACCTCGTGATCCACCCGCCTCGGCCTCCCAAAGTGCTGGGATTACAGGCATGAGCCACCACGTCCGGCTTTTTTTTTTAATTTTAAGTTTGCATGAGATAGCCTAATAAATGGAGGTGGGGCCAGGCATGGTGGCTCACACCTGTAATCCCAACACTTTGGGAGGCTGAGGAGGAAGGACAGCGTGAAGCCAGGAGTTTGAGACTAGACCGGGCAACATAGCAAGACCCCTTCTCTACAAAGCAAAACGAAAAACAACAAATGGAGTTGTGCTGTGTTGTATTGCTTTGCACAAAATTAGGAACAGGTGTTTGACAGCGGAATTTGTTTTCTATGAATTCCAACCTCTAAAGGCAAGCTTAGAGGCCAAGGACCTTCCTATATAGTTGGTGCAAAAGCAATCTCCACAGGACAATACTGCTTTCATGCTTCACACATCAGGAAATGACGCCCAAGCTTGAGTATTTACTAACACGTTTTTCAAAAGATGTGTTATACCTAAAGCTAAAAAAAGGGCAAGGGTTTGCCATAGAGGGAACCTGTAAATAATTTCAGGGGTAGGGGAGATGTTGCCAGTAAGAAATGGGGTAAAATATCAAGAGACAGTGAAAACACTGCCTTGACATGAGGATCACCGAGTTTCTTCTTTTCATTTTCAGTGATGTTGGGAACGGACTGGGTTTAAAAAGGGAGCTTGAAGATGGAATGTTTAACAGTCACAGAGGGTTCCTGCAGGAGGTTCCTGTTTTAGCTGTTTCTCATTTTTTTCCTCAAATTGTACTTCTGAGGCTCAAGCCTTCACAGTGAGCTCATGGTTCTACAGAGAAGGGGAGTCTAGGGAATTTCTTTGGTATTTATAAGGCAAGAGGTGATTTCTCTCTAATATATGTGAGTTATTGCTCATTTAAAACTGTTAAGTCTAGTATAATTTTCCCTGATAGGAAAAATGAATTTTTTTCACTTAGCAACAAAGTACCTTCTAACTTTCAACAGTCTGTGAAAGTTGGGGCTGAAGTACCTTAGTGCGAATGTCTTTCATGTTAAACTAAGTGTAGAAATCTGAATTTTTAAAAGAGCTATATAACTAGTTGTAAGTGCTTAGGAAGAAATTTTGCAAACATTTAATGATACACTTCATTTTTAAAATTTCTTCACACTGTAATTTAATGTATTTGATATTCTTTTGTAGTAAAACGTAACTCAGATTTCTACAGGAGACAGTGGTTTTATTTGGAGTGTCTTCTGTAATAGGTCTCGATAAAGCTGGGTGAACGTGTTGCTGTCGCTGCCCGTTTCCTGCCCTGTAAAGAGGGTTGTGTTCTGGAGCTCCTGTACTCTGGATACACATGAACGAGTTCTAGGGGGATTCTAGGAATCATGTGGACAATCTGCATGTGCATTCTGATTGACAGTTGGAAATAACTATGGCTGCATGTGAAGAGAACACAGATGTTCTTGTGAAAGTGATAAAATAGGCACCAAGCAACCTCTGCTGATGGAAGAATAGGTTAGTTTTCCAGAAAACATGCTCTGGATGATTGCAAGGGAAGGGAAAGTGGGGGTGAATTAAGAGGATCTTGTGTTTCTTGGGCTTGAGAACACTAAATGTGAGTCTACTGCATTCTTTGCTATTTCTCATGGAGAACATCTGACTTGTTTCTCACCTTCACCAGAGAAAGTGAAAATTCAGTCGCACACTCAGATGAGGGAATCACTATTAATACATGGGAGTGAAGTATGAGAATTAAACATGCAGTTTCTCAGGCAAGCTAAGATGCAAATACAGAACATCTCCATTGTAGAAACTTCGGGTGATGGTGCTGCTGCTCGGAGGGTAAGCTGGTTATGGCCTGCACTGCTCACTGTTCCTAGATGACCTCTGTCATGACTGGAATGTCACAAGAAAAAAATACTCCTCACCAGACAGTACATGTTACTCAACACAAGAGAACACAAGTTTATAAAGGCATTTAGTTTATTTTTCAAAAAAATACTTTGCTAGAAGGGTTGAGTACTGTAATTTTACATGATCATAATCTCTAAATAAATTCTTTTTCTGACCCAACAGGTACCAGTTAAGTGAACAGCTTGTCTAGGTCTGCTTTTGTAACACCCAAATACAATTAGCACTTCTCTGATGGTATTCCCCGGGCCATCTTAATTATGTATAGGCCAGGCCTAGCATATAACAAAGTATATGCTTTGTAACTGCTGATTAATTCAGTTTCTCAACTAGGCAGAGCAGGTAATCAGTATATCGAATTCACACTACTAATACACTGTCTTGCCTGAAGAGTCTGACCTGCCCAGAACCCCCAGTTATGTCTAGCCCAGGGAAGCAGTAAACTGCAATGCAGAGCAAAGGGGCAGCTAAGATGAGGCTAGTGCTGGCTGAGTCCCAGTTAGGTCTGTTACTGTTCTGTTCCAACTATAAATCCAGAATGACTGTGTTACTCAGATTCAGTGCTATGTAGAAAATAAATAGAATGCAAAGCCAAAAACATAATTTGGGGATGGTTGGCAGCACCTTCTTTTCCCTTTCTTAAGAGGCTAAATGAAAGTTGATTAGGATTGAGAGAACGTAACCAAAAGTTGAATCAAATCTATATTCACTGCTATAGATTCAATAAAAGGAAAGACCACTGTAAAGAAGCAACTACAACCTGATAAGTTTGCTGAGGAGAGGACTGGGCCGTTTGTTGAAGGCTCATCAAAAGTAGCACTTCACTTAGCACAAGGCCTGCACTCAACCTCAAAAGCATAAGGTCTAGGCCAGGCATGGTGGCTTATGCCTGTAATCCCAGCACTTTGTGAGGCAGAGGCTGGTGGATCACCTGAGGTCAGGAGTTCGAGACCAGCCTGACCAATATGGCAAAACTCCATCTCTGCTAAAAATACAAAAATTAGCCGAGTCTCTAATAAAAATACAGAAATTACAGGACACACCTGTAGTCCCAGCTATTGGGGAGGCTGAGGCAGGAGAATCGCTTGAATCTCGGAGGCAGAGGTTGCAGTGAGCCGAGATCGCATCACTGCGCTCCAGCCTGGGCAACAGAGCAAGACTCCATCTCAAAAATTAAAAAAAAGCATAAGGTCTGCCCACCTCACAGGCACCCAAACAGTTGAGTGCCAAACTAGTACCAGTGAAGCCACGCCTGCCTCTTTTCACCAACAGTCCAGAGTATATTTCAAAAATATCTTTATCTTTATTAACCAAGGAAGCAATTACTGCAAACATCAGGACAAAGGACATTCTAATCTAGGACTTGAGTTATAGAGGTTTACACCTAATTACAAGAAGAGAGGAAAAGCAATTATGTGTGCTGAAACCAAGTTTCATCGATGACAAATATTTTAAAATGACTTTTAAAATACTCAACATTGGCCAGGCGCGGTGGTTCACGCCTGTAATCCCAGCACTTTGGGAGGCCCAGGTGGGCAGATCACTTGAAGTCAGGAATTCAAGACCAGCCTGACCAACATGGCGAAACCCTGTCTCTACTAAAAATACAAAAATTGGTGGGGTGTGGTGGCGT